CAGCTTCGTTGCCCTTCTTTGGACACGCTCCAGCACCTCGATGTCCTTCTTGTAGTGAGGGGCCCAAAACTGAACACAGTACTCGAGGTGCGGCCTCACCAGTGCAGAGTACAAAGGGATGATCACTCCTTTAATTGCAGGTGGACTTTCAAATAAGATGGTGGAATTGAACCTAGTTGTCCACCCTCCTTTTATTGTGTTGTGATATAAAGAGAGTCCTTGTTGTTTTCAAACACTGTTAGAATCAAAAATAACTTGTTTTACTCTGAAATAGCATGTATTTCTGATCCTTTCAAAAGGTTTTTTAGATTTATTTTTCTCACCTTCAATTGTTCTAAAAGCTAGTGCCACACACTTTTTAAACCACGAGATTAGCCTTCAAGGGTATGTTAGCTCTATCCTGGTGTATCTTGTGGAAATAGATAATAGCATCACTGGAAGGAGTGAATATTTTCTTTTTCTCCTCACAGGAAAAAGGTGAAAGCATCTATCAAAACCTATTTATTCAGTTATCAAACACACATGTAACTATTAGATGTAGTACCATGTATGTGATTCTTCCTTTAGGAAGTAGAAAATGAAAATAATTTGATCAGCACAAAATCTGCAACAGTGTGCTAACATACTCAAGAATCTTTAGAAATTTGTGTAATTATGTGGCAACCACTTTGAAGGCAGAAGGATCATTATCAGTTTTTGTAAAAAACTTATTGTGTCAGCACATAAAGTAGAATTCAAATACAATCTCTGAAAATTGAGAAAAGAAACAGGGGATGTATGTAAACTACTGACCAGAAACAAAAATTTAATCAGTAATAAATTATTATTTTTTCCTACTATTAAGTATGTTTACCTGCCTTTTTTGGTTGTGAAAATTTCAGTTTGAAGGCAACATTATTCTCACATTTTCCTCTTAGAGTACGAAATACATATTTACCAGGGATATTCTTTTTTTATGCGTGATGGAGGATTCAGTATGGGGTTTCTTTGTTGTCAGAAGCCTTTTCTTCTTTGTTAATGTGATTTCATTTCACCAGGTATTCAAAGCTAGTATTTCCTGTTGTTTCAGCAATAATAATATTAAAGTTCATTGTATTAGAGACAGTCAAGAACTCTATTCTGAATTAACACCTATATACACATATGCACTCTTTACATATATGAAAGACTTATCAATTTATGTAATCAACATAACTTCAGGTAGTGTAAAAGATACTCAGAAATGTCACTATAGTGTCCTTATTCTTAGGGACTACAAATTCAGGCAACTTTATTTGAAACATGGTGGCACCAGTTTGTATTGGGTTAGGAGCAGCTGTTTGATATTTATCTGAAACACAGGAACTTATTTGTTTTGGGAAGAAAACAGGAGATAGTTCAGAGGATGAATTTAGCTGTCGGGAACATTCTCACATCGCCAGTGAAGAGATTGGGTGTGGGACAAATACACTGGAGTGCAAGTTAAAAGTTTTTTGCTGACTTCAGGGCATATCACCAAAAAAAAAAAAAAAAAAGGCAACTGCATCTTTAGGTATCTGTGTGTACTGTTTTCCAATTCTCTAAGTTTACTTCTAAAATTATTACCAATATTATTTTCCAGCAGTAGGCTATTTTGCCTGCAGTTATAGTCTGTACTTTTGTAAGCTAATGCACTTGAGTGGTATGGTAGGCCAGCTTGAAGTATTACTGATGTAGGATTTGGGGCTAATCCTGTTTTGCACTGGCACGTAAATTGCAGTGGTTGTGATAGAGTGGTACTTGTTGGAGAAACAGTTTAAGGGAGACATATTACAGTTTTTTGGGATACCTTTACTCTGTATTTGGATTTTGATCCCTCTTGTATATGTTCAGATTAAAATATCTAAGGGTTGTTTCCCCTCCCCCCCGCTTTCATCTTGTATCTTTGACATTTTTAAAACCCTACATTTATTTTACCAACTGCTGAAATCCCCTATGTGTAGAGAAGTTTCCACTTTGCCCCTTCCTCACTCCCTGGCTCCTCTTTTCCAATTGTATGTGTCCTTGACTTTAAAAAAAAAAATTGTTTTAATGTATTTGTGACATGGCCTAGATTTCCTTTACAAGGTAAATGAAGTGCCATATGCTGAGAAAAAATTTACTGCTTAGATAGATATTTAAAAGTTTACATTTCCCACCTTATACAGCAACTTTGTGTATATTCATTATGATAGCTCCTAGAAATTATAGCTTTCTCAAATTAACTAATCTGATACAAAGTTGCACTTTTTTATCATTTAAGATTTTTTCTGTTTGTTTTAGAGTAAGCTGTGTTTTGGTTGGTCCTTTAATGTAGATTTCCCCTTATTTTTTCAGATACTTAAAGCTTCAAAAGAAAAGTCCCTACATCAGGAGGACCAGCCCCAACCATACGCTACAAAAGGGGAGCAGATGGTTGTAATAGATCTTATGATGTAATTACCAAGCAGTTCAGGGTTTGGGGAACGAACACTAAGATATTGTAAATGGGTTGTAGCCAACTGTCATTTTAGTAAGCTTTTTTAACACTTGGATGTTTAATTTACATTCCTGTCTGATATTTTTTTTTTTTTTTTTGGTCAAGTTTAGTGAATTCGTTATTTTTCTTCTGTGTTTGTGACAGAGTTGCAACTTTGGGCTGCATTTCATATGTGCTGTTCAAGCAATTGTTAATATTCTATTTATAATGTGGCAGCAAGTGCATTTTTTCAGATTTTAATATATATCTTTTGTTGTGGATTCATACAGTATGTACAGAGCAGCTTGGTCAAATGAAACTTATAATATTATGAATTTTTAAATGTTTTATAACTGCTGATATAGCATACAGCCTAACTGCATTTTATAGAAAACACTAATCAGGCGCACACTATCCTGTGAAG